CGAATCTTGTTGAGCGAGTTGCCCAATTACATCAAGTTTCAGTGGTGGCCTCTCCAAATACTGTGACACCTTCTAGTAAATATAGCGGATCTCACAAATGTGTGTAACTTGAAAAAGTGTGCAAAACATAAGACTTTTGGGTACTGAGTTCCATAAAACGTTGGAAGTTGAAGATTAATATTCAACCTTGGTCGCTTACTGCGTCTTCAAAGCATTCTTTGACTTTCTCCATTAACTCAGCGCTGACGGTTTCTTGGCTACTCGTTTTAATCTCAGATACCAGGAGCTTGTGACTCACAAGCGTTTTGTTTTTGTAGTGACCTCAGCTTGGGAGTAACGTGCATTTGTTTCCCTTTTCACAGTGAAACTTGAATATTAGCGGATGCCTGAATAAAGGTTTATTTTGCAGAATATATGGGTAAACATTTTAACAAGCTGAGCCATTCGTTCGCTTAATAATGGGTGTCTGCTTAATGTGCAGCTGAATATGACTCGTCGTAGATCGTTGTTTATCAAAAGGTCTGCCCCATATATTTTGCTTGGGTCTAGTAAATACATTGGATTGGTCTCCGACCTGATAGTCAGTTTTTCCTATAAACCATCGTTAAACTTGCTCTTTTTGCATGACTGTGTATTAGCGATTCATTGCAACCAGCTACTGTTGATACTTAAATATTACGTCAGTAGTTTCAGTTTCTTCCTTTTTGACCTACAAACTTCAACACTTAGTACAAAGCTCGACCTATCGCGTTTCGGTTTAAATGAAAATATATTCAAATTACTGTGTGATGAGGATGCCATGTTCAAATTCTGAATTACGAGCTCTGTTAAGACATAGTTTTAATTCCAAAGAAGTGAATATTTCAGATGCAATAAGTACAACTTTATGTTTCAATGGAGGGAGAAAGTATCGTCTTGTGTATTAAATGCGCATTCAATTGCGAGCAATGATGAACTTTCTTTATATTAAATTTTCCGGGTTGATTGTAGTTTAAGGCATATATTGCTTTTTTGAAACATGATTACTCACTGAATTGCCACGTGGTGTTGGCTGGTTTCATTAAGCTGAGACTACAATGGATGTTTTAAACGTTCTGATCCGGTATGCAACTGATCAAGTCTGACACATATTACCGAATGATTTGTCAAGTAACTACCCACTGTATCTTTGTTTTAAAACTCTAGCTAGTAAGGTTTTTTTTTATAGGTAATAAGTTTTTTTTTTCTGAACCCCTAGTCCTAACATTAAAGTTTAATTAACATTTGTGCCTTTTTCATAGTTTTTACTTGGGTTCAGCAAATACTTTGAATTGGTGTTTGACCTATCGGTCTGCCTTTCCTCTAAACTATCACTAAACTATTTACGTTTGACTGTTTATTTGCAATCCTTTGCAAACCAGCTGCCTTTTCTAATTTAATATTGCGTCAGTAGTTTCAAATAACTTTCTTCCATTTGACTGACGGACTCTCAACGGCTACAAAACTCGACCTATCGCGTTTCGGTTAAAAGGAAGATATATTCAAATTTCTGTGCAATGAGAAGAATGCTGCTGCTGTTTTAATTCAGATAAGTTGAAATTTTAGATGTTATGAGCGCGTTTCAGGGACTTTCTAATACCATTGTCACAGTAGACTCAACAACACTCAATTTAGTTGTCATCGGAGGAAGAGAAGTGAAAGACACAGAACGTTTGCATGGAGACCGTTCAGTACGACGTCTTGTGAAGAATTGTTTCAGTGTCAGTCTAAACTTTTCAAAATAGGAAACGATCGTAAAGCTCTTCAAATGTTCTATGCAGCTACAGATTGAAACTTAAGACTCTGTACAATGACGGAAGCTGAAGGTTTGAATACGCCGACACTTGTCGCTAACTGCGTCTTGAACGGCTTCTTGTCTTACACCGCCATCGTTTTAAATATTATAACAATACAAGCGCTCAGAAAAACGTCGTCGTTGCCGAAGACTTTAAAAACATTGCTACTAAGCCTGTCTATTTCTGATCTAGGTGTAGGTTTACTTGTCCAGCCACTTTATGTTGCATTTCTTACGATGGAAATAACTGAAAACAGCAAAAACACTGACAACATTATTGCTTATTGGGCTGTTGTTAAAGCATATGTCATCTCTGATAGTTTATTCGCTTTTGCCTCATTTTTTGGTGTTTTCGCGATAACTGTTGACAGATTCTTGGCCATTCATCTTCATCTCAGATACCAGGAACTTGTGACTCATAAGCGGGTTGTTGCTGCGGTGATCTCATTCTGGGTGTTCAGTGTAATTGCTTGCTTCGGGTATGAAAAATCGATTATTGTTTTGTCCGTTATGTCAGTTGTTTGTATCATAACTACAGGATTGCTTTATTGCAAGATATACGCAGCCGTGAGACACCACACAAACCAGATTCGCCTTCTGCAAGTACCTGAACAAGAAGCTCAGAATGGGGACATGGCAAATGCCACAAGGTTCAGAAAAACTGCCGTTGCTACATTTTACGTGTAAACCTTGTTTTCAGTTTGCTATTTGCCAATAGCTTGCGCTGGCCTCGCCACGATGATCCATGGTAAAAATGCCTTTTTATCCAATTTATGGCTTTTTACTCTGACCGTTGTGTATTTGAATTCGTCTTTCAATCCTCTGATCTACAGCTGGAAGATGAGACACGTTCGACAAGCTGTCTTGGACATACTTCGTAACACCTGTCCGAGAGAATAACTCTTCCCCTTTTTCTCAAGTGAAAAACGTTATTGAAGCAATGCAGACAATGCAGGCTGGAAAAGTGATATTGTCTCATTATGTAATGATTTACGTACTAATTTGTTATCAAATCATGTTGATGACACTTGATTGACTGTAGTAATCATCACATTGCATTATCATTGTTATAAATTGTAACTTTATGTTAAAGCTTTTGCAATACTGTAACCACATAATTATAGTCATGCAAATAAAGCTTATGTTGTTGTTGTTGTTGATATACATGTACGTCATATACTGACAGTAAATAAAATAAATAAAAATGAGTGCAAAAAGTCGACGTTTTAGTGTCACCGTAACGCCATTTTCAAGACGGGCCCGATAACAGGGTCGTAACATGGTATATCCGGGACCCATTGATCCCTATTTTCTTGCTGTTATTTTGATCCCTGAGCCCCATTTTCCCCAAAATTTTGATCCCTGAGCCCTGATAAAAAATTGATCCCATCTATGTTTTCACACAAAATTTAACTTAGACTCTAAATATAGAATATAGAACATGCTCAAATAAGCTGATGAGAAAAACATTAACTTTAATTTTTAGTGCAAGTTGTAGGTTCTATCAGAACTTTAAAGATCAATATGAGTCAACATCTTTTTCTGCAATATTCTATTTAAAACACTTTAAATATCATGTTTGGCGATACTAGACAAATGATAAAACCTGATTTTTTTGAACGGGAGCTTTAGTAAGATACACAATGTAAGTTATTGTTAATTTACACAATTAAAGTAGTCCACTTCCCTTTAAGTATCGTACATCTTGAAAGATCTTGCGCTTGATTTTTTCAGATGTAACGTTCATCAAGAGTATTTACAAGGTTTATTTTCAGTGTTGCTGATACGAGCAAGGCCACCCGAAGGTTTATAAGACAATCACAAGAAAGCATTCAAATAAATACAAAATTTTTGGATAAAAAATTTGAATAAATACATTTTTAGTCTTACAGCAAACACAGCTAGCGCTGGTTGGTCGCCGGTTGAATAAATGTCACTGCAAGGTACTTCTGAACTAAGGTCTTCCTCTAGATTTCCAATTCCTGTACCGTACGAACATCTGCTTGCCCAGATAACTTGTCCAGTTAATCAATGTCCGATCTGTGCGTGTGGGTAATAGATGTTTTATTTCCAAAGAGACTCTTGCAACCAAAAATATTACGTCGGCCTGTTACTGGTCTACAATATTGATGTTAATAAAGTGTAATCGTTTGTCTCACGATTCAGTCACTTAAGGATGTAGATCGCGACATTTCAACTGCGTACTTCAAGTGTTCATTAGAAAAGCAACACTTAAAGACCTTGCCTTGCTAGTCTTCGTCGACTGGTCACACGTGAACTTATATTACTCCAAGCTCTGGTTCTTGTTGGTCGATTATTAGCCACTGAGATTGGTGCATTTCTTACTCCGTTGTTTGTATGAGCTTTTGCCTCACTGGTCCGCTGTCGTACGGATCTCCTATTGCTGTGTTTCTTTCTTGATTAAGGGCAACCAAGCTTCTGCACTTTCTATTCTGCTATCCCCGTTGATGTTGTGAGAGTGTACTCTTATGTGAATTTTTCTTTCACTCTGTGTGTGTTACAGTGAGGATCACGATCAATTACCAATAGCAAAATACCTGCTTTACATGAAGTAGAAAAATTAAATGATGCAAGCCACAGGTTCTACAGTTTAACAGCTTTTCTGTGTCAAGCCCATTAATGGCTTTTCCTGGCTTAATAACTATTATAGATTGTTAGAGGACATATCTAGTCAGGTCTTCCAGACCTACTCCTTCCAGCTTCAAGTCTAATTGGCTCTGAAAAGTTGTCCCCCTGAGCTTGCTCCCCTTCCTCTTCGTCACCACCTGACGCAGGTGAATCATCTGATTCAAGTCTGACCCCTGGAGCAATGCAACTAGGCTTTGCTCTTCAAGGCAGCTCAAACAGAAGTTGTTTCCATCTTTCATTATTTGAACTTTCTCGATGATACACTTAGGTGAATTTCTATCGTCACGGTGCCCAGTCTGGTATACAAGGGGATCTTCTTCTGACTGTTCCAGCCATCTCAAACCAATGTGATCTCAGGAAAGCGTCCCCCGGCGTTATGGTGGAGATCTTTTAAAAGAACTACAAGGAAGCAAGGAATGATATACCTCTTGTAATTGTGGTTGAGAGCAACTACGTCTCTTTTGAATAAATAATCTCATATTCTTCGGCTGCGTCTTGAACTGTAGTTTGTCCTTCACTCCCTTGAACCTCTTTTAGCAGATCGACTTCTCCATGTGCCGACGCATTCCTTCTGAACATACTCAGGGCAAGTGCAAGTGTACCAACTCTTTCTTTTGTCTCTCGTTCGTTGCTGTCGTAAACCCCGTCCGAATTCTTTCGCAAAGCTCTGCAATGCCTTCCTTTGTCGCTCCTTTCCCTCCACGCTCGTTTCCTCGTCCATATCTTCCTTAAAGTGTACTCTTGCCGTGCGACTTTCGAAGCCATTCCGGTGCCTTTTTACCCAGCTTTCTCTGTGTGTAATGGCTTTGAGGACCGGTAAAAGAGATAAACGAGGATTGGTAGAGCCTCTCTATTGATTCTAAAAGGCAGCTGGGCCGCCGTGATGCGCAGGTGTTCTCACTTCACTGAAAAATTCAGGCTCCAAATCTAAGGTGGTGATACCTTTCGGGGCCAACCATTACATAAGCCGAGGCCAAATAGCCCAAAGGGCCGAAAAAATTCTTGTAGATCAATATTGTCACTGAAGTCTGTACATTTCGTGCAAAACAAAATTGCTGCTGCACGAATGAGGTCCGAAAAAATCTTGCATGAAAAAAATAACCCATCCCCGGCTCAAAAATCAAATAGTGGGCCCCTTACTGGTGGCCCTTCATGCTGAGTGCTATTACAATAATATATCAGGGGCACCCAAGGTCAATTTTCGGAAAATATCTGTTCGGAACACAATTTGAGATCTAGAATTTTCGGAAAATGTTTGTAAAATTTCTTGCTTGCCTGCCTTTCCTAGGATTTTCGAACATCTAAAAAATGGTATAATTGCCCATTTTTAACGGATTTTTACCCTAAAAAGGTCACCTAGAATTTTTGGAGCCTTTTTTCTGGCTGAAATTTTCGAAAAGATAAGTTTTGATCCCTATAATTTTCGAGTCACTAGACTTTCAGCTGGAAATTCCGAACAGATGAAAAATTTTTAGGGGATAAAAATATGCCTATATCTACCGTTTAAATACTAAAATACATTTAACAATGCTATGTTGAAGTGGTTTTGAACTATATTCTCGTTGGATGTCCCTGATATATTAAATTCCTGCAGACTTTGCTACATGTACCTAGTCTGCAACATTCCTTTCACCAATTCAACCGTTTATTTCATAAAAAAAACTTAAGAAAATAAACTATAAAGGCTTTGTTACTTTTATGTCACCGAGGTAAGTCTTTGGCGTTCCACTTATTTTCACTAATTCTACATTGTAATTTCAGACTATTTATCATACAAGCATTTATCAGTTCTACAGTAATGGAATGGGATGTGTTCTTTACTTTCCTGGCCCAATACTAGTACTGGTAGGTGAACCGATCTCGGTTTCTCATCAGAGTCCTAGATAACCCTAAAGCTCCATGCAATTAGAGCAGATTTGTTAAATTGCGAGAAAGCATTTATTTTGCAACAAAGTGCGCGAATTCATTGTACGTTTGTATTCTACTTTTGATGTCCATTCTAATTATCTAAGTACTTTTAAGGGTTAAGTTACTGGTCAAAAAATACGAACCTCGATTTATGGTCGCCTTGTGACTTGCTTAAGGCGATGAGGCAATCGGGACCTATACAGTAAATTCCGCTTTCAATGAGGCGGTTTGTCTATTGTCCTGGCGGTGTTGTTGTGTTTGATCGGCCGAAAAACTCTATGCTTGGACCCTTGCCAGGGGTAAATCAAGGAAGTACTTACGTACCTTTCTCTGTCCAAGGATTTCTTTTTGTCCTTTTTCTTCTTCCCGACTTCTCGCAAAAAAAAGATATGTATAAATCGCTTTCTCTGCCTTCTGGCGTTGATAGCGCGCTGAGGAGTTGCGTTGCAAAGCGAGAAAAGTGACTTGAGAATCATATTACGGTGCCCTGGACAATTTAATAATAAATTAAGAATATGATACCGTGTTTTCGTCAAACAACCAGGACTTCGTATGACAGGAACTGCCGCCAGCCGGAAGCAAGAATATGTAATGTACCTCGGACAGGAAATTCTATGGACACAAACCTTATTATGCGGAAAAATATTGTGATAAGAGATTTTTAGACCGTGTAATAAATATGATCCCTGATTCGGGCTCAAAAGCCTTGTGATCCCTGATCCCATTCTTCTGAGCCCTGAGCCCTCTCCTCTGAGCCCTGATCCCAGTCAAATTTTGGGCTTTGAGCCCTGAGCCCATATGCCATGTTACGACCCTGCGATGACTAGGTAACAAGTTATGCGAACTTATTTGAAGAGTTTCAAGTCTCGAATAATCAGCATACAAACACGAACAGAGTTAATTCACACGTTCAGGGATGGTTTAAACTTTTACGAAGGTATCCTAAATATACAGGTAGCTACGAGTGCATTTATGTCCCAAGGACTTTGTCCGCGGATCCAGGATATTGTAGGTAATACATTCAGGTCCCTAAGGAAAGCGAGAGCTAAGAAAAGCATGTAAAATAAAATTCTGCGATTAAAACTAAATTTGTGCTGTATGTTACTTTCCACCATTGCCACTTTTGGACT